TAAAACTATATTAACACCCAGCCATCAATGACTTATGAGACACTATCAATCTTTCAAATTACTTCAATAGTCCATACCTAAGAAATTATAAAACATTTCAAAAAGGAAAAGAAAAATTAAGAACATTTCCTAAATTATAGGCTATATATATACTTAGTAAAAGATGCTGTAAATAATTATGATTAGAAAATCCTTATATACAATTTAAAAACACACTCCTTCTGCGTAACATAAAATATACAGTATTCAGGAGATGATATTCATGTACGCCATCGTGACAACGAACACAAAGGAAAAAGCAAAATGTACGCGGACAGGACGCGTAACGCCAAAATCAGAAATGACGTCAACACTGAAACAGGACAGATAAAATAAATTGACCCCAACATTTGAGGAGAAGCCATACCAAGTTGTTACCAGGTCAGGTGACATGGTGGTTGTAGGAAATGATGATGTACAATACCGTAGAAACATCACGAAGGTAAAACGGTACTATGAGCGCGAGAACGATGTAAGTGAAGAACCAGACCAATCTAGTCGGAACTTGGAATTCAACTCAACCGAGACACCCGCTCCAAATGAGGACTCGAATGTGTCTCCTGATCGCGCAACAACTTACGAAGACCGTGCAACACTTTCTGAGCGCCAACTGTGGTCTACCAGACTCCCTTCAAGATTCAAAGACTTGGAAGTTTCAATTAAATGAACTTTGCTAACAGTGGCTTTATTTTATACACACATATACTGTTGTGGAAAGCAGTGTTTCAGTTTCAGTTATTATGGACTGTTGAAAAATAAGTTTTTCAAATTGTTAAGTGTTCAATGACATGTAACCTCCGGTCAAGATGGCGGGAGTACACGGAATCCTACTGACAACCACAATATGTTTGACCCTACGATCGTTAATACAAATCTCAGAGGTGCCTGCGTCTCCTGATGAGCTAAATAACACCTGCTCAAGCGAAATCTCCATCTTGGAGTCGGGTTTTCGGACATATGCCATTAACAAATTGTTAATGGACAGTGTTAATTCCCTCCATTATGTGCTTAAGGAATTTTATAAGTGAAATTAATTCTTCATTATTTACATAATTAAATAATGTGTTCAACTTGAAAGTACTAGGATTTTCAAAATAATATCTCAACATAAATTTTCTTCTGTTTTGCAGTATCTGGTGATCAGTTCATTTAAACAAATAATGATATTCGTCTCCAATTCCATTCAGGTCGCAAAGAATACATTTTCTATCTTCTCTTAGTATGTAATTCCATCTACCACATTCAATCAGAAAATTAGCATTACAAATTCTAAATTTACAATAAACATTTGCTAGTCTTGGAGGGAGATCCAGCAGGTATTTTTTTCTAATACTAAGTCATTTTTAAAAATTCTGTAATTGGTCCCTTTAGGTGAATTGAAAACATCGCTTCTCCAATTATTAATGATTTTATCTTTGAGTGTATATGTATTTTTCAACCATTGGGTACTATGGAATTCTTGACTTTCAAATCTATGTATTTAATAACATCCATCAGGGTTATTTTTAATATAATTAGTCCGTTGAGTATTATAGTTTATAAATATCTTATACATTTTATTACTTAATTTATTAGGTATTGGTTCTAACAATTTGGCCCAAAATCCAATCATTCAAACTTTGATATTTATACTCAGAGGAAATCTTCCTAGTTCTCCATAAATCATGAAATTGGGTGTCAATGTTTTCACCTGAAGAATATGTTTACAGAATTTCAAATGTAAACGTTCTAAAAGTTTGTAATCACAAAACCCCCAGACTTCACAACCATACAACATGACAGGCTTGATAGCTTTATCGAGATATAGTGCAGCTAAACACCCAGAGGATTGAGTGTAGGGGGGAAAAAGGGGTGTTAACTCATTCATAATGAACTAATGTATCAACCTTTCAATTGGAAGGGTTCAAATGTGTCTACAGGGGTGAATGAGTTGATATTGCAATATTGCTTTGAATATCTTCTCTTGTAAAACTAGGAAAAGGATAATGGGATAGCATCCATATTTGCCTGGAAGCATTGCGAGGAAGTGGGAATTCAAAAATGTACAAATAGAGGGGGAAAAATCCCCACAAAAACTCCACATGGCTGATCAGTAGCCTTCTCCTAGCATAGGAGCAATTTGATCGAAGAGGTTCAGTGTTCAAACTTAACGGTTAAGACCTATAGGCAATCATATAATAATAATATGGTGTTTATATTTAAATTTTAAGACTGAGTTATTTAACTTAATTCTTCTTTGGAACTTGGACAGTTATTTAAAGTATATATATATTTATATTAACATCCCCTTCATTTTGTTTTGGGTATATATAACTGTAGCTAAATTATTGGTATATATATACATTAACCTCCCCTTAATTTTGTTGTGGATACATAAATGTACCACATTTGGGCAAGGACAGTTCCAATGTCAATGTTCATGCAGCTCAAATAGCTCAGTCTGCTATATATATATAGTGCAATCTGAAGTCCACTGGGTTCAAATCCTGGACTAGCTCTGCAGAATCTTACACTTAACTAATTTAACTGCTTTTTATTATATTTTGTTCATTTATGTAAAATTAAGTCCCACAAGGTATGCTTTTCTTTTCAGACTATAAGAATCTGTCTTTGTGAAAGAGGGTATCAAATTGTAAATTTGGAGTCCCCGCCGCTACCCTAGGGGTTAGGATATATCTATGGCTTCAAAGGGAAAATTTACCAATATGTCAAAAATCTTCTTCAGATTCAGGTGAACTGTTCATGGACAGAAAAGTCGCTAAGTGTTTTATCAAAATTGTGCCATAGTCATCAGGTCATCTTTTGGGAAGGGGTATAATTTACTATAGTTTATATAGGGAAATGATGTTTTTAGGCACATTTTGTTTTTAACTCTACAGGAAATAATGCAAATTTGCTTGAAATAATAATGAGATATCAATTTGATGCTATCAGAAAGTAAGATCCTGACTCACCCCTTGGTTCGGAGGGGCAGGGCCCATTGGAATATTTGCTGAAATTTTAAAAGTCTTCTTGTCAAGACTCAGATTTACTAGAATCCAATACTAGTACTCTTGATGGATGGAAATGTCCATACAATGTACATGCTTTATCTTAATTGTAAAGTGACGGACCCAGAGGTGTTGCCCTAGTTGCCCGGGCAACACCCTTTTTTTTGTCAAAGGGAAAATTTACCAATATGTCAAAAATCTTCTTCAGATTCAGGTGAACTGTTCATGGACAGAAAAATCGCTAAGTGTTTTATCAAAATTGTGCCATAGTCATCAGGTCATCTTTTGGGAAGGGGTATAATTTACTATAGTTTATATAGGGAAATGATGTTTTTAGGCACATTTTGTTTTTAACTCTACAGGAAATAATGCAAATTTGCTTGAAATAATAATGAGATATCAATTTGATGCTATCAGAAAGTAAGATCCTGACTCACCCCTTGGTTCGGAGGGGCAGGGCCCATTGGAATATTTGCTGAAATTTTAAAAGTCTTCTTGTCAAGACTCAGATTTACTAGAATCCAATACTAGTACTCTTGATGGATGGACATGTCCATACAGTGTACATGCTTTATCTTAATTGTAAAGTGACGGACCCAGAGGTGTTGCCCTAGTTGCCCGGGCAACACCCTTTTTTTGTCAATGTCCAAAAATAATCTGGACCAAGGTTTTTGAAGATTTTCCTCTATTTCATATAGGATTTACTTCTAATATCAACCATCCCTTCAACTATGGTTTTCTATGGCTTCCCTTTGCCAGCAGTTTGAATATCTATATATGCCTAAGGGTGTTGCCCAAACAAGGAGTCCACTTCTTATACTCTAAACAATGGAGGATTCATCCTCTATTGTCTATATTATTAGTAGCTACATGTATATGGTCTTCAGTCAGGTCAGTGGTCAAGGTTCAAATGGACGGCTCCCTCTACCTAACCTTATTGTTCTAATGTCACGGTGTGATGACCACCCTGTCAGTTGAGAGAGGACTTTATATATAATTACAAAGGTAGAGTCCATTTCATGATAGATAAACCTGTATTCCACCTGTGGTTTCATGTACAGTAGTACACATGATCACAAGGAGTGATATTTATACCAATTGAAAAATATCTATTTCAAAGACAATGAAGCACCCTCCTTAGGATCACTTTATCAGGTGAACGATAACCAATGTTGCTCAGCATAAAAGCCTAGCACGTATATATCCTTTTCATTAGGTGTTGCCCTTGTACATATGTATGCTACAAATTCACAATAAAAGACAAACAGTTGAATCATAACTAACATTTATAAAAACAACAGCCTTCAAGTCAAACAAGGAAATAAACTATTTCCCAATGATATCATGATGGAGTCTATAAAACTTGACAGTGACACACGTTTTACACAAGAAACAGAACAGAAGCGAAAAAGGGACCAACTGATCTGGGTTTTCGTGGAACTAATTCATTAAATTGTAATTAATACAAGACATATCTCTCTAAAAGTAAAAAAAACAAAAAACATCCGTACCAAAACACTTGATGAATAACAGTAAAAGAAAAAAGTACCTTATGACTATGACGTGAAATAAGCACTTGAGAATACGTAGTAAGGAAACATCTGTTTAAGGAAGGAAGCATTGTCGATGTCAGAGGTTCAAAATAAAGCAGCCAAATTGAAAGAGACATACATTGTGAACCAGACTTCTGAATTCTACCAACACCGATTAAAGGCACAAGTCATTACTCACCAAACACTAAGTATCGGGAAACTGATATGGTCCCTTCTCGCTTAAGGTCGGCAGAATGTATGTCTATTCCGCACGTTAACATAAAAACGATATCTTCTCGGTCGTCTGGCATAGGATAAATAGTGGTCCTTCCAAACTCGCATCCAGTACGGTTTTTGTATTGGAAATGTTGCTATCGGGTTAATTTGAATTTTGAGAGTTTGTTTTCTTTTTCACTCCGTATAATGTTTCTTTTTCCAGGTTCCACCATGGTGTTACGGGGGCACGTGGCTTTGACGGTCGTAACGGTAGCAGCCCTCGTATCGGTGATCTTGTTGGCACATAGCTTTGAGTATAACGCTGTTCCAAGACCAGCCGGCTTGGAATACATCAAACAAAAACCAGACCGTAAAGTTATGAAGCCCATTTGTCCCCCGAACCAGACTTTATCCGGTGTGGAGGATCTGCTATGTATGGTAGGTAAGGAGGAGATGAAGACATCATATCTGGTCTGTCACCTCACAATGTAATTTCAGGCACCTACGTTATGTTTTCTATGTAGGTACCTTGATTATATGTCCACTTTTCCTTATAAATTTACCAATAAGTAAGTGTTTTCTATATCGTATGTATTTATTTCATACGTTTCCTACCTTCTATATATTAATAATATATGTTTTTCTAATATCCATGAACTTATTTTATCAGTTTTGTGCTTTATACCTTTTATGTTTTCTACCTTCTATGTATTTATATCGTAGGTTTTCTACCTTCTATGTCTTTATATCGTATGTTTTCTACCTTCTATGTATTTATATGGTATGTTTTCTACCTTTCTATGTATTTATATCGTATGTTTTCTACCTTCTATGTATTTATATGTTATGTTTTCTACCTTCTATGTATTTATATCGTATGCTTGCTACCTTCTATGTATTTATATTGTATGTTTTCTACCTTCCATGTATTAATATTGTATGTTTTCTACCTTCTATGTATTTATATCGTAGGTTTTCTACCTTCTTTGTCTTTATATTGTATGTTTTCTACCTTCTATGTACTTATATTGTATGTTTTCTACCTTCTATGTATTTATATTGTATGTTTTCTACCTTCTATGTCTTTATATTGTATGTTTTCTACCTTCTATGTATTTATATGGTATGTTTTCTACCTTCTATGTATTTATATTGTATGCTTTCTACCTTCTACGTATTTATATCGTATGCTTTCTACCTTCTATGTATTTATATCATGTTTTCTACCTTCTATGTATTTATATTGTATGTTTTCTACCTTCTATTTATTTATATGGTATGTTTTCTACCTTCTATGTATTTATATTGTATGCTTTCTACCTTCTACGTATTTATATCGTATGCTTTCTACCTTCTATGTATTTATATCATGCTTTCTACCTTCTATGTATTTATATTGTATGTTTTCTACCTTCTATTTATTTATATGGTATGTTTTCTACCTTCTATGTATTTATATTGTATGCTTTCTACCTTCTATGTATTTGTATTGTATGTTTTCTACCTTCTATGTATATCTATCATTTGTTTTCTACCTTCTATGTATTTATTTTGTACGGTTTCTACGTTTTTGTTCCGCTATTATATATTATCTGTGTTTTTACTATTTTATTAGGTTTTCGCCTTCAGATCGTACCTGTATTATATGTTTTATTTGTGAAGTATCTGATTCTCTTTCTATATAAATGTTCAATTTGTGTTACCCTGCTTCTGAATAGCTTTTAATTACCCTAGAAAATTCCAACGTTCATGTCAGACTACAAGAACCCTTGTTGGCGGAGAAAAGACGGACAGCTTAGATGCTTGCCTTATTTCATGCTCATCGGTATGGACAAGTCCGGGTCTAGTGATTTGTTTGACCGGATAACCAAACATCCGGATATTCTAGGGAACGGTGGTGAAATAGGAAAAGAAACATGGTGGTGGAGCTGGTCACGTTACGGTATGTCAGTATCACGTGACCGGAAGTAAAATAGAAATAGCTATTGTGTATGTAATGCCAATACAAATGATACATAATGAAACGTAATGAGTGATATATTATGCTTACCAAATAAGAGTAGAACGCGAAGGAATAAACTTCACAATATCATTGAATACATGTAGTGTAATAGAGCAAAAAAATAGCAAAAAATAGGTGTTAATATATATATATTTATAAGTATATTTTGTAATATTATGTATATTTAATATAACTGAAACAAAATGATTGAATGGTATAGTGAATCCCAAATATAGATTTATTATATATATTCATACGTATATATTGTAATAACTTAACTGAAACAATATTATTGAATGATATAGTAGAACACAAATATAGATAAATGAAATTTAATGTATACATAAGTATATATTTTGATAATATAACGTTATAAATATTTGGAAATAAATCTTGTTTAGGCTATACCAATAGAAAACAATATAATCAATCTTTTTTCTGCATCCCGAATCTGCCTGTACACATCAACTTTCCGAATTACAGGATATAATTTGATAAACAGAGTCAAGACACAGAAGTTTGAGGATTATTTAAACCTTTTCAAACATTCCACCCAGACGATCAACTCCCCCAACAAGACAGACAGCAATGGTTTCCATTTCGCCATCACGGGTATGTTTGATACTTACAGAACATTTAGAAATATTAGTTTGGAATTGGACGAGCATATGTCGTTTCGCCATCGCGGTACTTTTTTAAGCTTTAACATTGAATAAAATGCCTGAAAAATGTATATAAGAATTTATATTTGGCTTGTTTTACAGTATTCAAATATTTGGTTGATCCTATGCCTATGGTAGAATAAACGTACCCAATGCTGATTATATCTCAAAATCGTTACGCAATGAACACTTTTTGAACCTCGGTCCATTTGGCAGAGACTATTCAAAATGTCATAAACATCATTTTCTAACCATGATTAAGGTCAATGCTGGATTAATTATTGCCTACGCGAGCGATCTGTATGAACAAGAACATACTAGCATAATATAATGCAGCATACGACAGATATTTTGTACCGAACGACTCGGTATTTGTGTTGAAACAATTGCGTTCTTATAACGGACTCGTCATTCATTGATGACACCTGACTATAAGGTGAACGGAAATGGGATTACACCTATAAAATGCAGTAATAGATACAGTATCCAGGAAATGAATGGCACTGCATCAAACAGCTGTTTCGTCCTTCTTGTACTCATCAGTGTTGCTAGAGGCAAAAAAAGGTCGATATCCAACTTGGTCTGAAATACTTTTTACACAAATCGGGAGATGCGTTAAAACCCCTTAAATTTATGAATTTCAAAACTACCTATTCCTACATCATTGATGTACTTACTACCGAGACATGACCAATTCATAACCCTTTCATTTATGTATTCCTTATTATTTATTTATGTTTATTTGTATTATGTACAGGAGACGGCACACCGATGGACGCCTGGGATTTCCGAGGTTGGACTCAGATTCCGCAAAACAAGGGTCTGCAGGAACCGAAATTTTTAACGCCAGACCTAGTCCAACACGTTAATAAAAACATGAAACTTATCATCATAATGAGGAATCCGATAGAAAGGTATAGTATGTCAGTACAACAAAACCTCGATATAATGTCCCGTGTTTTATTTGCACTCCGCTTACTGCCAACATCTCATTGTCCCCATTTCTACTTTTCTCTACACTTAAATACGACATCCTCGACATATTCTTATGTAATCTACTATTATTTGTTTGTGATAGGTAATACATATATAAGTACAGTATACCGTAAACGTACATATTTTAGCGGAAGTCTTATTTAGCGTTTTTCGCGCTTAAAATATTGTGCTAAATTATCAATGTACCTATCAAAGTTCATGTATGTTGTTTTCTATAACATATTTTGAAGGTCCACCAAATAATCAATGCGCTGATCTGTTGAAATTTGAAGATGCGTTAAAACTTATGCACTTATGTACATACCATGCAATGCTTTTTTTGACTAGAACTAATCAGCTATTATCGACTGATTTAATCCCAAGATTGACATCAGTATGGATTCCAAATATGTTAGCGCCACTATGGTAACGTGACGTCATTATTCCGTCTACGACGTCATTTTGTCGCCATTGTTGTTCGGTTCAAGCTGGAAGCAAATGAAACATAAATATGGGGTACATTTAGGGAATGGATCAGATAGATTTGTTTGCAATCAGTACCAAGCAACTGAAGCAAATAGATCTCGACCCAGCGACCTAATGGTGGAGGACTGGTGATCGTAGACGATCAGACGCTTTATTCACTCGGTCACCGCGACCCAGTGGTGGAGGGCTGGTGATCGTAGACAATCAGACGTCTTATCCACTCGGTCACCGCGACCCAGTGGAGGAGGGCTGGTGATCGTAGACAATCAGACGTCTTATCCCCTCGGTCACCGCGACCCAGTGGTGAAGGGCTGGCGATCGTAGACGAGCAGACGTCTTATCCACTCGGTCACCGGCTGGGGATCGTAGACGGTCAGACGTCTTATCCACTCGGTCACCGCGACCCAGTGGGGGAGGGCTGGTGATCGTAGACAATCAGACGTCTTATCCACTCGGTCACCGCGACCCAGTGGAGTAGGGCTGGTGATCGTAGACGATCAGACGCTTTATCCACTCGGTCACTGCGACCCAGTGGTGGAGGACTGGTGATCGTACACGATCACCAGTCTTTATCCGCTCGGTCACCGCGACCCAGTGGTGGAGGGCTGATGATCGTAGACGATCAAACGCTTTATCCACTCGGTCACCGCGACACAGTGGAGGAGGGCTGGTGACCGTAGACGATAAGACGCTTTATCCACTCGGTCACCGCGACCCAGTGGTGGAGGGCTGGTGATCGTAGACGATAACACGCTTTATCCGCTCGATCACCGCGACCCAGTGGTGGAGGGTTGGTGATCTTAGACGATCAGATGCTTTATCCGCTCGGTCACCGCGCCTCAGTGGAGGAGGGCTGGTGATCGTAGACGATCACACGCTTTATCCGCTCGGTCACCGCGACCTAGTGATGGACGGCTGGTGATCGTAGACGATCAGACGCTTTATTCACTCGGTCACCGCGACCCAGTGGTGGAGGGCTGTTGATCGTAGACGATCAGACGCTTTATTTACTCGGTCATCGTGGCTTCTCTCGAATCAAATCCAAAGGCAAAATATACTCATGCTATGTGATATTTCAGATTAACACATATGTGTTTTATTGCAAATATTTTTTTGTAATAAGTTATGTACATTATATGTTAAGTATATGCATAATCGTTCTCCGTTCTCAGGCTTTACTCAGATTACTTTTTCCTGAAATTGGCCGGGCAATCCTCAGAGGCTTTCCATAACTCTGTGGTCGCTTCCATTGACATCCTGGGTAAATGTCTGAGCAGACACCCTATGTTGACATGCCTATCGGGTACAAAAGAACACCAATGCTGGAATAGAGCGGTACGTGAATATATATTTAGTTCATGTAAACAACACAACACTTATAATTATTTCTATTTTTAATGTATGGGTAATTTGACAGATTCAGATGATTTTTTTTTATAGGGATGGCAATCTGATGGAACATGTAGAAAATATTAAATCATTCAATAGATCAATGAGATAGCCTATAAGGGAAGGAAATAACGATATTGTGATAGATTATATAAGGAAAATACGAGATATTTCAGTTTGAAGATATTGCAAAACCGAATTGAGTAATTGTTTCAAATAATAAAAGCTGTTTAAGCTATCAGTTACTTCAGAAACGTTACATTTTATATCTTTTGCACTGTAGGCTCGGATCCACATTGGGTTCTACTCCGAATATGTTCTGGAGTGGCTAAGAGTGTTTCCACGGGATCAGATCCTTTTCCTCCGTACAGAGGACTACTCTGCCGACCTCAGTGGTCATCTGGCTAAAGTATTCAGCTTCCTTGGGTCACGTGAGTACATACCAGCTGACATCGTCTGATAAATCATATTTTGTTCTCCCATAGAGGAATCGGGATTCGAACCCTGAACATCAGATTTGTGTACTATCTCTCTAACCGATTGAGTTATCCTGTCAATGGAAGTGTCCTTGCCACGCTGTGGTACAGTTATGTCAAAACAGAAGTTAAAGGGAGGTTAATGTATATAGGAAAGGTCAAAGTGCAGTAAGGCATGGATGTTTAAGGCATGTCATGAGGTTTTTTTTAACTTTCAAAATTTAAAACGATTGCTGGTACATACGGAAACCAACATACAGTTTTAGACCTACAATCAGATTTGTTTAAACCATTTGTATTTTCTCGTTATCGGATTGGTTGAAAATGATATCAAAACCTCAATGTTACCCGTTCGTTTTACAATAATAAAAGATAAGTGTGCACACTATGGACGCATCGCAAACACGTGCCATGACCAAAGGGATCACTTCTCTGCTCAACACAATGTTTTGGCTGTTTGCTGTAGGTTTTCCCTACAGAACATTTTGAAAAAGAATAGTACACTGCATGCCTTTACAGTTATGACTAACTGTTGTTACTGTTTGTTTCAGGTCCGTTAACAGCATCGGAAATAACGTCATACGGAATAGACTTGAAAACCAAAAAGCACGTAACACAAAGCAAGAAAACAAAGGGCCCCATGCTGGAGAAAACTAGAGCGATACTGTCCACACTGTACGAACCTTATAACAAAAAACTGGCCAACATCTTGCAGGACAATCGGTTCTTATGGAAAGACAGTAAGGCTAGATGATTGCAAAGGACAATCAAATGAGGCCTGGTAAAGAGAAGATGTATGATGTGCCTTGCGTCATGTGGGGTTCACGCCGTACGTCTTGTGGGACTCAAGCCGTACGTCATGTGGGTTCCACACGGCAAAATGATGGAATAGACATTCCACTATACAACAGTTGTGGTACTTCGGGAAGTACAAGCCGTTGAAACCATACCACAAAAAGACATAGTGTGATTCTAGTCCTGAACAGGAATGGAAACATTATCGAACAGCGATTGGAGTCCTCGTGCAAGGTGTGAACACAGTTCTATTGACGTCGATTCGTTTTAACAGTTCTGTTCACGTCAATGTGTGTCAACAGTTCTGTTAACGTCAATCTGTGTCAACAGTTCTGTTGACATCAGGGTGTGTCAACAGTTCTGTTGACGTCAAGGTGAGTCAACAGTTCTGTTAACGTCAAGGTGTTTCAACAGTTCTGTTGACGTCAGGGTGTGTCAACAGTTCTGTTGACGTCAAGGTGTGTCAACAGTTCTGTTGACGTCAAGGTGTGTCACTCCAGGGCACTTGTATAGGCATTGATGAAACCCGTTACCATCGTTCAATCCAAGGCACGCGAAAAGATATTTATGAATGACGTACATTGTAGCTTACGTTCAGTCGAAGGCACGTGTAAAGACAATTATGTATGCATAGCCTACGCTTACTCCAAGGCACGTGTAAATGTTTCTATGTACGATGTAACCATCGTTCAGTCGAAGGCATGTGTAAAGTATCTATGTACTATGTAACCAACGTTCAGTCCAAGGCACGTGTTAAAACAATTATGTATGCATATCCACTGATCACTCCAAGGTACGTGTAGAAGTATCTCTGTAGGATGTAACCACCGTTCAGTCCGAGGCATGTGCTGAGGCATTTCTTTTACAAGCCGTAGCCACCATCAGGTTCATGTTCATGACATTTGTATAGACAATATATGACGTGTATAACCGGGAACTGCGGTAATCACCTGCCGAAAAGATTACTAATATAGCTTTCATTATCAAATTGAATGATGTTTTGTAAAACTGAATTATCAAAATCTCCTGTCGTATGGGTACTCTGTATAAACTGTGAAATTTAACTGAATGAGAAAGACCACCTAAAAACCGAAAAAAAACCGCTACCATATCATACCACGTTAGCACAGAAGGCTTGGGACATGAAAAAAATGGTTGAACATGATATTACAAAGTTTTAATACCAAGTGAGAACGGGTTTTTATTCTATAGGGAAATTGCTCAAGGCATTACAGGGGTTGCATGCCAAGTTAGAATGGGTTTTTATCCAAATGGAAAAACTGTTAAGACACTAAAGTTTTCTACCTCGTCAGCGCTCTAGCCATAGCAAAAGCAACTCAGTGGTGAAAAAATGGCTGTATTTACGTGATGGTTTTCTGTATGAAATGACTTCTCTGGAACGACAAGAAAAACACATGAGATCATCTTAACAAAACAGTGCGATATCCTTACCATGTGCATTATGATATATATGTTGGTCATCAAAAAAGGGTAAAGTTCTGTTCGGTAGCGTAGATAATGTTTCTACATGGAGAGAGACATAAAAAGGAAATAGATACATTGCTCATATAATACACCTGCAGAAATAAAATAACTTTGAGATATGTACATCGATAGTTAGGATACACGCTTAACGAAAGTGGAAGTAAAACCGTGACTACAATACCAGGTAATCTGTTAACAACAAATCGGAGAGGGAGTGAGAGATAATATATAAGGTACAGGACATTCGGAAAATGCTGAGATAAAGGTAACTATTTGTTTTCATGTAATCCAAAGAACATACCCATTCCCATATTCCTGTGTAGACATGCTTTTTCTGAAAAACCCCAAACAGAACATAGTGCTTGATAGACATTAACAGAAACAAGGAATCGAACGACAAACTTATGAGAGAAGTTATCTATTATGTTTTTAGTTTTTAAATGTTGTCGCTGTGTTGTTTATGGCTTGTACGATAGTAACCAATGCCAATGTACATGTAACATTTGTTATCTAGAAATAGATACCTATATAAAAGTATACCAATGTCAACCAGTTAGCTATCTTACCATGTACTGTTATAGTTTAATATGTGTGTACAATAAAACCTGTCGATATCACAGCGTTATTCAGTGTTTCTCATTCCTTCCCGAGGGTGTGCCTCTGTAGCAATGGTATGAGATGAAGACGGCTACGTCGAATTGAACGTTTAGGGAAGAGAGAGAGAAAATACTTTAAGTACTGATCAATGACAAAAAGTACGAAACTGCAAGCTGCTGTAATTGTGACCGCGACTGCGAAAATGGGGCCAGATGAGGTAAAATCAGAAATTGAGATTTTGATGTTTTCTGAAAGCTTACAATGCGAGAAATAAAAAACCAAAATATTTGTGACCAATCTTTAACCTTTGCGGAAAAAATCAAGATTATGTAACATGCAATTTGAACTAGAACGCAAAATCGAATAATGACATTATGCACACGACCGTATTTTATTCAACAACACAGTCACGTAACGTTAATGAAATTACAAGGTAAAAAAAAATAAAACTAAGTTAAATATATTCAAAACAGCTTACAACTGCAAAATTCGGTACGTATCGTTCATGACCACTATCAACAGAACATATGTAATTATTTACAATAAAGGGAGATAACTTAATAGTAGAAACATTGAAAATACAAAGTTCACAACTTTGTCATAGTCTTAATGGTATACATATGTATAGTCAATCTGTACATTATGATCCTACAGATTTCCGAATGTTTGATTTAAAAAAGTATATAGGTATTAGCTAACAGGATTGACAAATAATACATTTGAAAAAAAGTTTTTCATATAGGCAAATACCACCGGAGAAGGTTAACTATAAAGGGAGATAATCATTTGATTCATAATTTGTTTTGAAATCACAAGTTTGTTTTGCATTGCTTTAATAGGTGTCATTCAAATATTCTCTTTTAATTATCAACGTCAGGTTGGTGGACTCACTGATGTATTTAAAATAGAGCTCATACAACATTAAGATGAATTCGTCATATAGAATATACAATAAAGGGAGATAATCCACAGTCACATATACTTTTTTTGGGAAATTGTACCGAAATAAGTGATTGGTCTTTGATTTAGAACAATTTTGAATATGTTTGCCACAACAGCAGGTCAGCTTCTATTTACTAGTAAGAAAATTATTTTGAATTATAAATCCAATATACACACATGATACAACAACACTATTTTTGGAATGTTCATGTATTTTGACTTAGGTCTCTCTGTATATTAGGGCACATTTTCAAACATTATAAATTACCCAAATAATGCATGTCAAATTGCAATGTCACATCAACATTGCAGTTACATAAAATCATTGCAATATACCAAAAATAGATATTAATACATAATAAACAGAATTTTAAACTTGTTCCTATTGCACATGTTACATATGATATTCATGAAACTGAAGATTGTTTCATAAAACTAGTATGTAATTTATTACGAGAATGCGTTACATATCCTCTAACGTCACAGTACCCAATGCGGATCCCTATAATTGTGATGTTATATTTGTTATCCGAACAATTCTGAAACAAATTCATCAAACAATATACAATTACCAATTAATTAACTCATTTAGATTAAACTTGCACAATGACGCACATTTCAGTAGTTTGATAGTCATAGTGAAGTTTCATCTCAACAGTAGACCTTTTGCACAAAAATGTCCCTGGTTTAGTAGAATCTACTATGAAATGATGATAACTCCTAAGGTTCTTAAAGGCTTAAACTATTGTTTTAAATATGTCTTTCAGTCTCTGAACTTAATGGGTTTGTCATCATCTTGCACCAACTGGGGGATGTTATGTCCATTTCGTGACGATTTCATTACTGATTGGGCAACTTCCTGCAGAGTTTCCACATCACTTGATCTCCAGCGCAGCTTCCACACACCGAAATGCCAGTCTGGGTCAAACTTTGTGTGACCAGCTATCATCATGGAATACCGGATCGTAACATGAAGACCTAAAAGCAAATAAAGAATTCTTGAGCTTGATAAAATTAATTTGTACAACTGTAAAAAAAACACACAGCTGATTGATTGGTTAAAATTTATAAAGATCTTTGATTTGAACGGAGAACTAAAATGAGGGCAATAATGTGAGGTCAGATTAATCATTGTTTCTAGTCATTGCATAACTTGCAAGACAATAATTCTGATATGCAGTCATACAACTTCCAATCTTGTTCGTTAATCATTTTTTTAACCATGCTCGCCAAATGCGCATACGTGTAAAAACTTAGAAGTCAAATTGGACAACTAATCAACTTAATTAGAAAATGTATTGGTGACAGTCAACAATGCCCGGACATAATGGCATCAACTTACCAACTAAAACTCTCCACAACGCATACCACAACACAATGTTCTTATTCTGACCGCTGCAAATATCAAAGTGGAGTGATCTGCCCTTGATACAGGGTGGACGTGCATTCACTGCCTCTGATGAATATGTGAATTTACCCCCATTTGACCGCTCCAACCGGCACCAAATTGTTCATGGAGGAAGATACGTGAGTTTTTAATCATATTGTGGCTGCGTACGTGTGTTAATGATCGGCATGGTTTAATTACTGTTAGAAAACTGTTTGGTACAATGTCAATGTTTGTTACGGTTGGCTGAGCCGTTCACCTGTTCACCTGTAATGAACAGTTGTCACCTGTCGCCTACCTGTCGGGACTGTACGATGTGTGTTACACGCGTTTGTTTATTTGCTGTTCATATACTATATTAACGACGGTTGTGATGTTTGAAGAATGTCGGTAACCCCGGGTGCGGGCAAAAGAAGACGCAATAATTCAAGAACTTCTCCAGAATATAGAGAGCTTAAAAAAAAACCTAATTGACTTATATAAAGATAGTGAAAAGAGTGTCAGAACCACTGGAAATATGTCGAGTCCCGTCGCCAATTATCCTGGTCCACAGCCTATGGGTTCGATTCCTCCGCAATTCAACCATGGTCACCAGCCTATGTTTACCCCTTACCCGCAAAATAGTGTCAATGCCGTGTTGTCAGACCTAGAGATCTCGAGAATCGCTATGGCAACCAAGTCTTTAATGCTAGAGGACACCGATGCTATAGTTAGAAAAGCGGTTGAGCCCCTCCATGCACAGATTGAGAATTTGAAACGAGGAAACGAAAATCTCTGACTAAAGGTGGACGATATAGAACAATATAGTTTGAGACCCTTGTTTAGGTTTTCAGGTATTGCTGAACAACCTGGGGAGGACACCAACGCGTGTATTATGAACGCGGTATCTAAAGCTGGCATCGACCTTAAACCCGAGGATGTTGAAAGGTCACACCGTGTCGGGAAACCGCGCCAAATCATTGCCAGGCTAAAGGGACCCGATAGCAAGCGGAACCTCCTCAAGACCTCTAAAAGGTTTAAAAGCACGACTGGTATGGAAAACGTTTCTGTGAGCGAGGATCTTACTAAAGTGCGAGATAAATTAGCATTCCTTGGCAGGAATATGGTGAAGAGGAAATCAGTCCTGGTCAAAGATCTAGTCGGCAGGATCCACACTATTAGAATGGAAGAAGACCTTGTACCATTTGGGCACACCTTGGCTCACGACGAAGACGAACTGAACTGAAACTTAAACAGAACTTAGTTCATGATTTGACAGTCAATTTCGTGTGTTTTTTTGCTTTTGTTTTTTATATGTCAACATCGTATATATATGTCAACATTGTATATATATGTCAACATTATTTCACAAGCGGTATTTGATATTATGCGATTGTTAATATCAACATTATTTGACACGCAGTACTTTTTTTTTCCCCCTTTTCTTTTTCTTTTTGACACGCGATAATAGGTCTTACGTTAACATAGACAAATAATAATTGGGTTAATGTCAATGTTAACTGACAAGCATTACCTGGTGTTATGTCAGCATTACAAGACACACAACATATTTTTATTTGACACATGCTTTTACTCTTAGTATTCTAATACTTTGGTATGCTTTATTCAAATTCTCGTCACCAACATTTGACACGCAATATTTGAGGAATTGTCAACTTGATTTGACACGTGATATTTTGTATTGTCAAATGTTATGAACATCAATTGACATGTAGCAATACATGACATGACAACATTATCTGGCACACAGTATCTGGAGTCATGCTAACATCAAAGGTTATTTTTATTACTTTATTTGTATTGTCAACATCAACCAATACGCAGTACATGTATTTGTTGACATGTCAACATTATTTAACACGAACAATTTGGGTGATGTCAATCTTAATGGATACACAGTTTTTTTGGGTTTTTTTGTGTGTGTTATTTTTGTGTTTTTTGTTTTTCTCTTGACACGCTGAAATTGGTGTTATGACTTTTTAAAGTTACACGTAGTATCTGTTTATATGGTAATACTTTCGATACGCAATAATTGGTGTAATGTCAACATCATTTGACACACGATATTCGGCAAAATTTGGAGTTCAGGCAACATTAGATGTTTCCAAGTATTTTGTGTTATGCGAACATGTTTCGCCTCGCAGTTTTCAACTTACGTCTGCATTATACGACACGCAGTATTTGGTGTTGTGTCAAATAGGTAACGCAGTCATTGTTGCTATGCCAACATTAATTGTCACATTAATTGACACACAGTTCTTGCTCCACATTTTTTATTTATTTTTTTGAAATTTTTACAATTATACGTGTCGGTTGTGGTCAACAGCAATGGATGCATTATCTATGCTTCCAACCTTTTTCTTTTTTAATGTTAGGGTTTTGTGTTGATTTTGTGTTTTTTTGTAGTTTTTCCTTCGAATGTAAATAGAATATGTACATATCCATGTATTACGCATACTTTCCAACTCTCATATACTTTGCAAACCTGTCTCAGAATCATTTGGAATAGACATACTCTCGTTCAACAAGCCTTTGTTTATCGCCCCAGTATTACCTAATGCCGTTAAATACTTTTTTTACATAGAACGAAAGTAGGTCTATTCTATGATATTGCTTCTAGATATAGAAATGCGTATATTATATCTAGCTATGACGAGGCCTTGATAACCATGTTATATCTGTATTATGGTGT